TCTATTCTTCATTTCGTTCTATTTTCTATTCTATTCTATTCTATTCTATTCTAATTTTCTTCTATTCTATTCTTTCTATTCTATATTATTCTATTCTGTCCTATTCCATTCCATTCTACATTTCTCTGTATTCTACTCTTTATTTCATTCTATTTTCTATTCTATTCTATTCTAATTTTCTTCTATTCTATTCTATTCTTTCTATTCTATATTATTCTATTCTATTCCATTCCATTCTACATTTCTCTGTATTCTATTCTTCATTTCATTCTATTTTCTTCTGTTCTAATTTTCTTCTATTCTAATTTTCTTCTATTCTATTCTACTCTCTTCTATTCTATTCTATCCTATCCTATTCCATTCCATTCCATTCTACATTTCTCTGTTTTCTACTCTTTATTTCATTCTATTTTCTATTCTATTCTAATTTTCTTCTGTTCTATTCTATTGTACTTTGCTGCTATATTCTATTCTATTCTATTCTAAATTTCTTCTATTCTTATTCTATTCTATTCCATTCTATTGTATTGCAGCTGCTTGCATCATTAAACATATACTATGAGAATTATCTTAACTCTTCTTTCTCCCAACCAAACTATCTTAAAGTTCACCCTCTCTTGGTCCTCTGGAATGCAGCCCCTCCCTCCTGGGAATCCACAACACATTGCACGGCATCATTTCCAAAACCAATTGCAGCTTTTTCTAAAAGGAATTAACTCATCGTTGAGAACCTTATGCAAATTAATCCCAACCAAACATGGTTCCGGGAAATTCTCAAACTTTAACTGACCACTTTCTCTTTCCAAGGCTCAGCAATCCTGAAATGCCAGGAACACAGAAAGAAAGTGAGCTTGTAATCTTGAAATTAAAAGCCAACTAAAAATAAGTATAGGCACCTGCTGAAGTTTTGAAAAAGCAGATTTTAATGAATTCGGACCAATGGGAAGAAAGAGGAGGAGAGATGCTCTGTGTGGATGGGAATTCCTAAAAGCCCATTGCAACCATTTCCATCAAGAATACTAGAAGCCTTAAATTCATGAAAGGTAACCAAGATGAATGCAAAATTTTGGCAAGCGCAGGGAAGAGGGCTCCATAAATCGAATGGCTCTTTTCAATGAAATAATTCCAAAGAGATTTATAGTGGAATCGCTGATTGAAACACAAAAGGTGAGTCTTCAGCTCTGTGAATTTTCATGCCTCCTATTCAGGTTTGCAGCTTAGAGGCAGTTGAGGAAAGGGAAGGGAAGGGAAGGGAAGGGAAGGGAAGGGAGGGAAGGAAGGAAGGAAGGAAGGAAGGAAGGAAGGAAG